CAGACGTACATAGCTAAGGGAGGAGCTCCTTGCCTCTCCTATTCAGCCAACTATAGACTAGCCAAAAAGTATGGTTGCACTCATAATCTAACTACTAAATATTCCCCCGGAACCAAGGTTTTTCCCTAACCAGTTATTTATCACGAGTCCCATACATCAATTGATCACACCAAAGGCTAAGTTTTTCCCCCTCCTCATGGGCTCATACCCTTTTCAGAACTCTCCCTACTTTAAAATTCTCTTTTTCGCTAATTTTCCCAATCTTAGATATTCAGACGCAATTTCGCACACAGTTAAAACAAAATTTACAAGTTTCAACCATGTATAAAATAAGTGCATTTACCCTATTTTACTTTTTGGTGAGAACCAGAAAATCTCAATCATTTCTCAGCTAGCGAGATGAAACAAACAGGTTGATAAGCTACAATTTCATATGACACATCACATGTATACAAGGCAGATTGGTAAAATTTTCACATTCAGGATCAAGGACGCTATGAATTATGACAAGGAAGATTAGATAAATTAGTTGCACCTCACCTGGTCATGACTGACTGAAACAAAATAATCACCAGATCTGGCCCATGAAATATCCGTGACAGCTGCAAAGTGTCCTGAGGGAACCTTTTGAGGTTTCCAGTTACCTGAACTGATACCAACATCTCTCCAGCGATGAAAAGACCCACCATAACCATGTGCTAAAATTGAATCTCCGTTAGGGCTCCAATGCCCACCATAAAACCCTAAAGCAGAATGACTTAACTCTCCAACAGTAACCACATTCATCCAGATCCCAGAAGTCTTTTCAGGTTTCCAAATCATCATTGTCTTGTCCATAGATGCAGATAAGATACTTTCAGATTGATAGCAGGGAACCCCTTCTGTTTCTGCTGCTGAAGGAGGCTGCCATTGGACCGAATATACCCAATCCTCATGTCCAATCAAAAGAGATTCTAATGATACCTGGTAAGTTGATGGTCCAGAAGTAAATATAGGACCTTGTATATAAGATGATAAACTTATTTCCTCTTTTTTGCATCCTCCATTCATGTTGGCCAAAGAACCATGAAGAACCATCTTCCATATGCGTATGCCTCTGTCCTGAGATGAACTTACAAGCATAATGCTATTTTCTTCTCCAGTTTTGCATATGGGCAAAGAGAAGTCCAGACTTCTAATCCAATCCGTGTGTCCTTTTAGCTCACATGCCTTGACAAACTGCATACAAGTACATTGAAGGAGAAAAAGAAGAGCCTCTCAAAATGGCTTATGGCTCGTGACAAGAAAATAGAATAAAAATTTGTACTGTACAAACTAGGTACCTTTCCAGTTCTCTTCCCACAATATAGATGAATCTTATTATCCAAACCTCCCATTGCCAAGACCATATGATTGGCATTTCCAGGCAACTCTGCTAATGAAAGTGCCACCATAGATTTTGAACCAACCAAGAGTGTGTCAAGCAACAGCAATGTACAATCACCTAAAAATGTTGGACATAGAACATGTCTTTTAGAAAGGTTTCAATGTTTCACGTCAAGGTGAAAGCTTATATTCAGATGATATATATCCATTGCGTAAATCAAGTAAAAATTCAAAAGGAAGAAGGATCCCATAGGCCAGTTTAAACAATCTCATAGGCCAGTTTGATTTACTGGGGAATATCTTTAGTTAGCTATAACAGCCTGCAGTAGCAGAAACAGACATTACTGTTTAAAACTTACTTTCTTACCTTCATTGGTAGACGGAAAAGAAACCTCCCAGACACAAACTGAACCATCTGAAGAAGAAGACGCAACAATTGCCGCGGTTTCAGAAATTATATGTGCAGTAATACATGTGACGCCTTTCTTGTGTGATTTTGGTAGTTGTAAAACATTTCTCCACTATACATACACAAGTTACATTAGAACATTAGAGATATATACAATTACATCAAAACAATCCACCTATGAACACTTCCACATTGCATAAGCGTTTCATTTCCATATACTTACTCCAATAAATCCAACTGATGAGGAAATCACGCGGCAAGACAAATTACAAACTCAACAATACATCCTAGAACTTAAATGAGTATTAATGAACTCAGTGAAGCTTTAGAAAAGGTATTACCTTCTGGTTCAGAAGCGAAAATTCCCATAAATGAATGGCACCATCAGAATCACCAGAAAGCAGATAATGACAGTTCAAATGCTTTGCTGAGGACAAGAAGATACGCTCATTACAATTAAAAAACGGGGGAAACAAACACAGATTCACACGCTAGTCTTTTTTGGCAAGCAAGCTAAAAGAAATATATGATCCCTGAGGAGATAATTAAACGTTTGCACACATTGATTCAACATGATGACAATGGGAAAAACTTCATCTCACCTCTGAACGCAAACTTGCTACTTGGAAGCCAATGAGTGCAGTTTACAGAGGCGTTGTGACCGGGAAGAGTCGTCAATATTTGTGCAGACTGTGAATTTCGAAAATTAAGAACAAAAATGAAAGCATAGTTAAGAATTTTTCCAGTTATGAAAAATTGAAAGAGGAAGTGGCTAGTAATAAGATATACACCTTGGGACAGAAAATAGCGACGGCGTTTTGAGCGCCAAAAGCCACCAAATCACAGGCTCCCCAAGAAACGTTGTTCACTATTCTGTTACAGCCTGCTCCTATAAACACATCCTTGACTTCAACCTCACCGCCGCCGGAAGACATGTTTTCCCCGAGAAAGCTCGAGTCTGGAAGGGAAAGACGAGATGGCGGCTGAAGAGCAGGGCGTTTGAAAGCTTTCCTTTCTCAGGCAACAACCAGGGACCGCGGCGGGACGAAGCTCGGCGGTACAGTGTGAAGAGCGGGTTTACTTATGGGCTTAATACTAAGCCGACGCTGGGCCCGTTATGTTAATTATGGGCCAAATGGGCCTCGCTTATGCTCTTTTTGGGCCTATGTTTTGGGTAGAGTAATTTTCTTATGGGCTTAATCCAAGCCGACGCTGGGCCGTTATGTTAATTATGGGCCAAATGGGCCTCGCTTATGCTCTTTTTGGGCCTATATTTTGGGGAGAGCAATGTTCCCTTTCCGTGAGATTTTACCATTCATTCACCCTTTTTTAGAGTCAACGTCCTCGCTGGCATATCGTCGAGTATCTGTCTCTAATACCATTCGTAATAGTCTAATCCTACCACTAGCAGATATAGTCCGCTATGGCGCGTTACATATCACCGTCAGTCTCAGTTTTAAAACGCGTCTGTTAGGGAGAGATTTCCACACCCTTATAACCCATGTTTCATTCCCATCTCCAACCGATGAGAAATCATACAAATATCATCAACACATTCTTGCCCACAAATAATTTCTCCGAGTACTCACATCTCGACTCCGACTTTGCACCATCTCCATAGTCAAAGGCATAGTTACGCACCATAATCAGTCTTTTCTTTTCGGCGAAAAGACATTCAAATCCGAAGGGCACGCACCTAATTGAACCAACAACCGTCCTTCTAACACGAGCTTCACTCTTCAGATCTCTACTTGGGTTTCAAAACATTGTAGGATCCTTCCTAAAAAAACATGTCTTGGACAGGGCATCAGCAAGTTAGGGACAATGTCATGGCTGTCACAACTATGGTCTGTGATTTATGAGAGAATCTAAAGGGCAGAGGGGGACAGAAGCTTTGGGTGTCTGATTTGTGAGAGAATCTAAAGTGGATCCATTGTTGTAATAAATATGAATGGGTTTCTTTTGTCAGAAAAGTGTTTGAATGGTAAATTTAATTTGACTGACAAGGGACAACTATGTTCTTTAAAAGCTACCACTACTTTTACTTCCTCGACAACATTATTAATGAAAAGAGATAAAGAGAAAAATGCTTGCCTCTCCCTCTGTCTCTCCTTCCTTCTTTTTCACTTAGTCTTACATTTGTTTTTGTTAACAAAAGGGGTTCAAAATGGTAAAGAAACGTGTTACGGGTAGACAAATGTCTCGATCACGAGAATAGTGGAACAATATCTCTATTAGTACGATACCTTTTAGGCGAAACAAAAAACAAAGTTATAGGTGGGTCTTGTTCTATAAAACACACTAAGTTTAATAATCGTTAATGTTCCACTATCCTAATCACTATGTGTGAGATTCCACATTCGTTGGAGAGAAGGACGAAACATTACTTATAAGGGTGTAGAAACTTCACTCTAGTAGATGTGTTTTAAGACTGTGAGGCTGACGACGATACATAACGGGCCAAAACGAACAATGTCTGCTAGTAGTGGGCTTGTGCTGTATCACATGGTATCATGGTACCAGAGCCAGTCACAGGGAAGTGTGTCAGCGAGGATGCTAGCCCCCAAGGGGTGGATTGTGAGATTTCACATCGATTAAAGAGAGGAACGAACAATTTCTTATAAGGGTGTGGAAACATCTCTCTAATACACGTTTTAAAACCGTGAGACTCACAACGATACATAACTGGCCAATACGAACAATAGTTGCTAAGAGTGAGCTTGGGCTGTTATAAATGGTATCAGAGCAAGTTACCAAGCGGTGTGCTAGTGAGGATGTTGGGTGTCATGGTCATGCTTGTCCAAGGCGTATTTGCCTATGGCTGCATGTCGAATGTCTCAATCATGCTTGTCCAGGACATGTTGTCTATAGCTACATGCCCGTTTCAAACCCATTTTACATGTTTTTCTCTTAGATAGGTCTTTACTCTTTCATGTTGTGTCAAAACTAGAGTGTATGACTAGTCACCAAAATCATTTAGTCAGCCTACTATGTTTTTGTCTCGAAAGACGTGGAAGAGCAAAGAATCCAAAAACATATGTTTGTTAGCATCAAAGTGGCCAAGCCATAGCCCTTGTTTGGCTTACCATAACTTGCATGGAACACACACACACAATGACACAACAAGATAAACAAGGCTTGAATGAGTAGTAATGGGAAGACCCCATTCTTGTCCCCCAGAGTCCACACACACACATATATACAAACCCCTCCTTAACCCTTTCCTTTAAACTTTCTCAGGCCCTCTCCTCCATGGACCCTTATGCTCATCAAGAAGACCATGATCACCTCATAGACTTGGGGCTCAGCCTCAGAGCTTTGCAGCCTCAGCATCATCCCCGACCACGACCACATTGTGAGATGTTTTGTTTTGTTTTGTTTTTTGTTGGGTTTTGTTGCTGATTCAAGGTCGTTTTGAAGCGATGAATTGGGTGGCGGCGGCGGCTCAGCTGTCGGATCTCTACCAGAAGGGAGAAGAGTGTGAGGAAGAGGCGGAGGTGGTGCAGAGCAAACGGCGGCGGGGTTATGTGAAAGTGAATATGGATGGTGTCATTGTTGGCAGGAAAGTTTGCATCTTTGAACATGGTTACTATTCTGGTCTTGCCCTTCAGCTCGAAGACATGTTTGGTATGTACGGATATGTTTCAAAATTTAGGGAGATTGTCCATCGTCTCGATAAAATTAGACAAACTTCTAATGTGTATGTTTCATATTGTTCTATCAGGTCGACAATGTGAATTTGGATTGAAGCTATTCGAAACAGAATCTGAATTCTCTTTGTTCTACAAAGATGGAGATGAGAATTGGAGGAGTGTCAGTGACATTCCATGGAAGTAAGTTCCTCCCGTGTTATTGTCAATCATATATTTGTTAGTTGATTCGTCCCGTTTATAGTTAATGATCAACTCTTCTCTCATTCGGTTTACTTTTGTTGGTAAATGGACAGGCAATTCGTAGAAGGCGTGACGAGGCTAAGAATTGCTCGGAAAGACGAGGCTTTTGTTGTCCTTCATCAAAATTAGGTTAAATTTCCATGGAAATTGAACCTCAATGGAATTTTATCTTGTGCTACAATGGAGGCTTCTTTTCTCATGGGCAAATGACCTAATTCTAAGCACCCTTTCAAGCAACATCTTCCAATAAATAATTTTATATTGTATATTCGAGCTCGTATAAAATTATACATCTACACGGTGTCGCATAAGATATTTATCATACATACAACAAAAAACCAACTAAAGCTCAGTTCGAGTATGTGTTCTTGTGAGATCCTACATCGGTTGGAGAGGTTAACGAAACAAACTTTATAAGGGTACACGCCTTAAAATAATGAGATTGACAGCGATATGTAACGAGCCAAAACGAATAATATCTATTACTGGTGAGCTTGGGCTGTTACAAATGATATTAGAGTCAAACACCGGGCGGTATACCAGCGAGAACATTGGGCCTCCAAGGAGGGTGGAGTGTGAGATCCCACATCAGTTGGAGAGGAAAAACGAAACGTTCCTTATAAGGGTATTGAAAAATTTTCCCTAGTAAATGCGTTTTAAAACCATGAATCTGACGGCGATACGTAACGGACCAAAGCAGACAATATCTGTAAGCGATGGGCTTGGACTGTTACAAATAATATCAGAGACAGACACCAAGCAGTATGTCAGTGAGGACGCTGGCCCCCAAAGGGGTGGATTGTGAGAGCTCACACGAGTTAGAGAGGAGAACGAAACATTCCTTATAAGACTGTAGAAACTTCTCACTAGTAGACGCGTTTTAAAATCGTGAGGCTGACAACAATACGTAATGAGCCAAAGCGACAATATCTGTGTAGCGGTGGGCTTGGGCTATTACAAATGGTATCAGAGCAAGACATCGAGCGATTGGGTCTCTAACGAGGGTAGATTGTGAGATACCACATCAATTGAAGAGGGGAACGAAACATTCCTCAAAAGTACATGGAAACCTCTCCCTATTAGACGCGTTTTAAAATCATGAGACTAACAACGATACGTAACGGGCCAAAATAGATGATATCCTTTATGATTATAGCTTCGAATCTCGTCTAAGTCGATTATAATATAACGTGTCTTTGTTTAAAATAAGTTTGAATGAAATGAAATGATTGGCAAAAATGTCTTGGGGAGGTAAAGAATGGGCTATTAGAGCATCTTCTTGGAGGGCATGAGTCAAAAGTGGCTGCAGAATTTGCAGGGGCTCGTCCCTACAATCACGCTCATGTAAAAGTCAGCCATTTCCCACTTCAAACACTGCCTTCTTAACAACTCTAAAGCTCAACTGAAGAACACACCCATTTCTTCAACAAACTTTCTAGACAGTAAAAGAAAAACAAATTCTAACGAGTTTTCATTCGAACGAACATAAATCATCTTCATTTACACGAGCGTACGAAAAGCCAGAGTTTTGTTTCAAACCCTTTATGAGGGAGCTCGAGCTTTCGAGTATGAACGATTCATTGTTCACTTTGGATTCACAACCATCCTACTCAATGCATCAGAAACATGTCTCATCGTCGGTCTTCTTTCGGGACTATTTTGAACACAAGCTAAAGATATCTTCAAAACCGTGATAATCTCCTCGTCTGAATCGTCGTCCGGTGTCAAAGACGGATCTATAACATCCGAAAGCGGCTTCTTTTCCTCAATGCAGAGTTGAATCCATTGAACAAGATCCATCTCCGACACTCCAACTTGAACTATCGGCAACCTTCCAGTGATCATTTCGAGTAATATCACACCGAACGAGTAAACGTCCCATTTCTGGGATGGCTTCACGACCTTTAAAGCTTCTGGGGCTTGGTAGTAAGTATTCATATTAGAACTGAATGTACTAGCTTCAGAAGTTGCAGACTTAAGCTGTTTCTCGTGGGGTTTTTCGTCTGTCAAGTGACCCGATTGCAGAGTCGGAGATCCTCCAGCGATGTTAACAAGTCGAGCAAGCCCGAAATTTGAAATATGAGGTACCATGTTGTGTCCGAGAAGTACGTTGTTCGTCTTCAAATTGCCATGGACATACTTTTTGGGGCTAAACTCATGCAAGTAAACCAACCCTTTTGCAATACCTTCCATGATTCTTAACCGAACAGACCACGGTAACGGTGTAAACGACGATGTCCCGGGCTTCCCTGATAACGTTTGAACAATCAAAAACATATAAACGATCAAGTTCTAGCTGCAAGAAAGTTACGAAAACGTACCATGAATGGCAAATGCAAGGCTTCCATTTGATATGTAATCATAAATAAGCAGTTTTTCATCAACAGACCAATAATAAGCTCTAAGGCCAACAACATTTGGATGCCTTAGCTTCCCAATTGCTTCAACTTCAGTTTGAAACTCTTTAAACCTTTGTGAACCTCCTTCACCCAATCTTCTCACAGCTAAAGTGAGGCCATTTTCGAGCACGACTTTATACACTATCCCGATACTACTTTTCCCCAAAACGAACGCCGATGCCTTAAGAAGTTCGTCGAGATCAAACGTCACGTTTGAATCAAGAGGTACGAGATCAAACTGCTGGACATGCTCCGAAACATTCTCGGATTCACCCTTTTGAAAGCAGAGACAATCCTTTCTTCTTCCTTTCTGAAAACCATCTTTAGATTCGTCTACCTTCTTCCCATTTCTACGAGTCCAAAACCTCGAATAGCAATACGAAAACAGCAACCCAATCAGACAGATACCGATAATGTCGCCGACGATTATTGCAACCAACGTGCTCCTACTCAACCCTCCTTTGTCATACTTACTACCATTACCACCCTCAGACCTCCCAGGTGGAGAATTATCCGGGAAAAACGGGAACGATGACGGCGAACTCGCGCCTGGAGCTTCCGAAGAACACGGATTCTTCAATGGAGGTCCACAAAGACCAGGATTACCAATGAAAGCAGTAGGTCCTCTGTTCATAAGAGCACCATTTTGGGGTATTGAACCACTCAAATCATTATAACTAAGATCAATATAAACCTTTTCAGGAAGGTTTCCTAAGCTAGCAGGGATTGAACCAGAGAACAAATTATATGAGAAATCAACAGTTCCTTGTAAGCTAGAGAGATTACCAATATCCATAGGGATTGAACCATTGAACATATTGTGAGAAACATCCAATTTTTCCAAGAAATTCAAACTAGAACCAAATCCAACAGGCAGAGCATTGGTAAGATTATTGTGACTAATATCAAGAATTCTAAGTCTTGTGCATTGAATCAACGAAACAGGCAACGACCCATTAAAGAAATTGTGAGATAAATCCAAGATTTGAAGGTTTTTGAGCTTACCAACATCATTTGGGACAAACCCAGAAAAGGAATTCCCAAAAATCACCAAGCTCTGTATTCCATTAGCTTGGAAAAGCTCCAATGGCAGAGTTCCATGGAGTTTATTGTTCCTTAGATTCACATGGCGAAGGTGAGAAAGAATCCCCAACGAAGAAGGGAGAATCCCTTTGAGATTCTTCTTGGGAATACTAAGGGAAACGACTCTTAGATCATTGCATGTAACGCCATTCCAAGAACAAGGGTTTTGATCTGAAGAATTCCAGTTGCTGAGGGAGCCGTCTGGGTCTTCTGTGATGAACTGTTTGAAGGAGAAAAGGGCGGTGCCCTCGTCGTTCAAAGCCGCCATTGAAAGACAGAAATTGCAGAGGAGAAAGATGAAGGACATGGAAGGAGGGTTTTCCATGGTTAGTTGAAGTTTGGTGTTCTTCGCCGGAAAAGTAAGTGATAAGAAGAGATGAAGAAGAGAGAGAGCTTGAAAAAGCTTTTCTCAAGGCCAAAAAGATATAAGTCATTCAATGGCGAATACAGAGAAAAAGGAGAATAGTGTTTTAACGTCTAGTGACTCATTAAATTATCCTTGAGAGATGATGTGGCTCAAAACAACATGATTGTCCCGTGACTCAACTCAATTGTTCAACCGACTCCCACATCCACTAATTTAAGGAATGATCATGAGTTTATAATCAAGGAATACTCTCTCCACTAGAATGAAGCTTTTTGGGAAGCCCGTGAGAGCTTATGCTCAAAGTGGACAATGTCACTCTATGGTAGAGAGTCATGTTCTATCAGAGCCATGCCCTAAACTTAGTCATGTCGATAGAACCCTCAAATGTCGAACAAAGGACTCCAAAAGAAAAAGGAGTCGAGCATCGATTAAGGGACGACGTACTTTGTTCGAGGAGAAGTGTTAATAATGTAATGTACGTTAATTAATAATGTACATTATAATACCCATCATGTTTTTGTCAATACTATTGTTGGATTAAAGTCAAAATTTGTGACAATTTTATGTGTTTATTTTAAGAAAAAACATTAACGTTGTTTCATCCCATACTTAATTTAGATTCCTACTTGTTTTGAGCTAAGTTTTTTTACTCAACGATTAGTCATGAAACTATACTTCGAGCCAGCCAACCGTTGTTTGATAACTCGAATGTACTTTAAAACTAATCATTATTGAGAAAATTATTTTTTTTTTTTTAAATTTTGACTAAAAGTTTAAATATATTCTTTAGAAAATTACCATAAAAAATTAAAAAATAAAAAACAAAATGATTAAGTTGGTTTTAATTATTTTGTTTTTTACTTTATTTTAATTTGTTAGTTTCTTCCATTTGCACCTCAAATTGAGGTAAAATTATATATATATATATATATATATATATATAATTAATTAATTAATTAATTTTTTTTTGTTGAAATTCTTAAATTTTGGCAAATTTTTCGGACATTAATTTTTTTTCTTAAACAAAATTAATTTTATGCAAAATTTTATTTTATTAAAATTAATACGTTTGTGAAAGGTTTTACATTTTTTTAAAAAAAAAATTGCTAAAATTAATGGTTGAATTATTGAAAAAAAAAATTGCAATAATTATTGAATTTGGAGTGAATTTTGTGAAATTGAAAGTTATGATGGAAATTAATACAATTTAACGATATACTAAAAAAAGGTAAATTTAATTTGATCCCATTAGGATTAATATATCAATCATTGAATTCTTTTTAATTAAAAACACTTATTATATTTAAAAGGTTAAATTAATATATAAAAAAATCAAATTTTTGTGTAGTTAATTAAAAAAATATCCTTAAATTTTTAAAACGTCAATAATATTCTTATTCAATAATTTTAATTATTTAAAAAAAAAAAAAAAAAAAAAAACACACATTCTTTCGATACACTCAACAACGTACGGCAGATTGGAATTCGCATGTGACAGTTTCCGACAAAATCCAATAATAATTAATTGAAATAAACAACTAATATAATAAAATAAAGGTATTAATATTAGGAATAATAATTTTAAAATACAAAGTGTTATTTTTATTTAAATTCTTATATTTTTTATTATATTTTATATAAACATGTTTTTAAAATTAGTAAATGATATTTTAATGGTAAGGTGGGGTCCACCGGGGACCACACTCTCGCGATGCGGAATGATCAGACGGCGACCGTTGAGTGTCCACCGCAATTACTATAATAAGTAATCATTGTTTAGTAACCGTTAAAGTGCTACATCGTAATAATTTCTATCTTGCGGGGACCACCTTTCCAGCCAATCACAAATTTTTGCGGTTTTTTATTTTATTTTAATGTTGTATATTAAATCAACGGCTGGGATCTTCTTGCTTACCTGGTACGCTTAGTACGACGTGGTTTGATTAGTACCACGTGGAGAGTGAGGGACATATAAAGCTAGAAAGAGGAATGGTTCACGAGCGAAGAGAATTAGAGCAATGTATCGCGAGAAAATGGAGAGAAATTGTACGACAGATTAGGAGTGGTGAGTCCCACGTGTCTGGAGGAGCTCCGGGACGTGAAACTGAGAGACGGAGAAAACAAAGTATTTAAATGAAAATAAATTTCATTTTAGGGTCTAATTTGCAATTTAATGATGTGTAGGGACTATCCTATAAATAGTTGTGTTAGTGGTCCCGCTTTAGACATTTTTTAAAATAAAGTTTTTACCCTTACAGCACAATTAAAAATTAAAAAAAAAAAAAAATTAAACATACACTCACTCTAAATATTTAATTTAAAAAATACACTTAAAATTTTTTAAATAATTTTAAAAATATCCTTTTAACTTTTAAAATATTTTAAATCTTTAAAATTTTTATTAATATCTTAAGAAACTTTAAAAATCCGGTAATTTTTTTTTTTATAGTTTTTAAAAAATATTTTTGTTGTAAATACCAAGTTTAAAAAATACTCGTGAATTTTTAAAAATAATATAAAAATATTTGCAAATAAATAATTTATAATATGTCGATAGACGAGTTTATATGATGGTATGATACAACACCTTTCCTAGAACAAAGTACGTCTCCCCTTAATTAAGACTCGGCTTCTTTTTCTCTTGGAGCCCTTTGTTCGACCTTTGAGGATTTACTAATTTATAGGGACGACTAAGTTTAGAACATGACTAGAGTCATACCAGGTTGGACCAACACAACTCTCTACAGTAGTATAATATTGTCCACTTTGAGTGTAAGCTCTCATGACTTTACTTTCGGCTTCCCAAAAAGCCTCATACCAATGGTGAGAATATTCTTTGATTATAAACGATCATTCTTTAATTACAATCTATTAAATAAATTTAATGAAAAAATATAACTAATTGGAAATGGTAATTTTTTATTTTTTATTTTTTATTTTTACTTTTTCTCATTTCATTTTTATCCACTTAACTTTAATTTTTCTTACATATTTTAAAGCAGTAAAATAAAAAAAAATGGAGGAGGAAGATTTACATGCAATTGTTTTGCTGTTAGCCGTTGGTAGACGCGCCACCGTCTCGTTATTGGGTTGCGGCGGACGCGGAGACACAACCGCCACACCCGGCGGCGCATACAGTACCGTATGTGTCGGGGTGTGACATGTCTTTCTCTTTAGAACCGCCGCCGGTGCAGGAGAATACGATCGTTGTAATAACAGAAATTGAAATCACCGCCGCCCATAATATCAGAACTGCCGAGCCGCTCATCAATCCGCCACCGCCGCCGCCGCCTCTCAAATCTGTTAACTCCCTCACCGTTTAAAAACCCTCCTCCGATCTCTCCAAGGATTAAGACAAACGAATATAATGAAGGGGTGCACCAAGGGCCTAAATACCTAATCCTATGACAGACTATGATGCCACGTGGACATCACAGCTTTTGTTTGTTGGATGATGAAAGTCCCACATCGGCTAATTTAGGAAACGATCATGGGTTTATAAGTAAGGAATACTAACTCCATTGGTGTGAGGCCTTTTGGGAAGCCCAAAGCAAAGCCATGAGAGCTTATGCTCAAAGTGGACAATATCATACCATTGTGGAGAGTCGTGTTCGTCTAACATGGTATCAGAGTCATGCCCTAAACTTAGCCGTGCCAATAGATTGGAAAATCCTCGAATGTCGAATAAAGGACTCCAAAAAAAAGAAAAATCTTTTAGTAGAAGATATTATTGTTAAAATATTAATCAGTTAATATATGTTCAAATGGGTTCATACATTAATGGATTTCTAAATCTACTATCAAACACGTATTTAAAAACATGGAATACAACTCGATTTTGATTGAATCTAAGACGGGTTCGGGACGAACTAAGTGATTGAAATATAGGGTATTAGGAACTAAGTTTGTTTGATATGGGTCCTTCTTGGGATTTTGCTGAGAAAATTGGAGTGTAAAGTGTGGAAGAAGGTGTCCATGGAAGACTTGAGGTTGGAGACAAGCTTATGAATCTCCTCCTCGTACTTGTCCAACACAATTGGAACTGTTTGTAAGCTCAAAAACACTGCTCAATATTAAGAACAACATGTCACGGTCCTTTTAGACACACAAAATCTATTGAAAGTGAGAGAGGAAGAGAGTGATACCAACCAATGTATATGAGATTCAATGAGTTCATCAGCTCACCAATTAGTGATACCAACCAAATGCTACCCATTACCTGCGAAATGGGTTGATTCATTTGATCATGTTTTAGTTACTCACCCGAGTAATTACTATCTTATAAAGATTATGTGTGAGATCCCACGTTGATTGGAGAGGGGAACGAGTGTTAGCAAAGGGTGGATTGTAAGATAGTACATCGGTTGGAGAGGGACAACGAAGCATTCCTTAGAAGGTGTGGAAACCTCTCCCTAGCAAGACGCATTTTAAAAATCTTGAGGGAAGCTCAAAAATGATAATATCGATTCATGGTGGGTTTGGGCCGTTACAAATAAGATTAGAGTCAGACATTGCGTAATGTGTCAGCAAGGACGCTGGGCCCCAAAAGCTCAGTGTGCCAGCAACAACACTGAGCCCCCAAGAGGTGGACACGAGGCGATGTGCCAATGAGTATGCTGGCTCTCGAAGAGGGTGAATTATGAATTTCCAAATTGATTGGAGAGAAAAACGAATGTCAGCGAAGATGTTAGGCCCTGAAAGGGGTGGATTGTGAGATTTGGAAGGGTACCAATACAACTTTGGCGTATAAAAATATAAAATAGGTATAAATTAAATACTGAGATTTGTAAGGGTACCATTGCAAATAGCTTAAAGTTTTGGGCAGTTGAAATTTGAAAGAAGTGGTGGAGAAACCAGTTGAATGTATCAAAGAAATGAGTGAGAGTGGCGTTTGAGATCTCAAAATCATGCACACTCGGTGGAGCCCTGCCAAGCCACGTCACCAATAAGATTAAAAAAAAATTACTGTATCAATTTTTACCATAAATTCAAACGAGTTCTACAATTTTTATCCTATGTTCAATTTTTGCAAATTCATCCAATTATTTAAATCAAACAAAATTATTTTACTTCTAAAACCTTATTATAAAAAAAACAACTTTACCCGTATCAATTTTTACCATATGATGATCGATAATTTTTACCCATTCACTCAGTAATTTTAACAAAATATTTTCATAACACGTTAGTTTCAAATCAAATTTTAATGGAAAAAAATCCGTGTACAACCACTAGTAACAGATATGGTCTTCTTTGAGCTTTCACTTTCGAATTTTCCCTCAAAGTTTTAAAACACATAGCTGAGAGATTTCCACATCCTTGTAAAAAAAAATGTTTCGTTCTCCTCTCCAATCAATGTAAGATCCCACAATTCATTCATTCAGGGCCTAGCGTCTTCGCTGGCGCTCGTTCTTCTCTCCCGTGGATTTGGGATCTCACAGTTAGAATTAGACTATTTTTCTTTTGAAATCTTACAAATTTTGTACAACTTTATTTTCAACGAAACCTTATCGAAGATTTAAAATTACGACATTTATCTGAATTTAAAGCAGAATCGAACAAAATTGAAAGTTTAGAGATAAAAATAGAATAAGAAGAATTGGATTTACCAGTTGATGAGAAGAGCCAATTTGTTCCAAGAGAAGAGGAGAAGCATAGTAATGATGAGTAGATAGCAAAGCAGAGTAACAAAGTGGTAGTCCAAGACCTCAAGCAGAAACCAAACGCCGCTGATTCCGGCCAACATCGCCGCCGATTCTCTCTTCTTCTTCCACAGCATCAACTCCGCCACTGCCATTCAAATCCAAAACACCCCCTTATATTCAACATCAAATTGATATATTTTATAACAAAACTCTAAACTTTTAATTCTGAACCTTTGCCATGCCCAAAAATGGAATGCAGAAACCTCGGACGGACGCCGGAGTCGGACATTATAATGTTTGCTTGCCGGAAAGTTTATGGGTTTTGTGGAGAAGATGAAAGAAAGGAATGGGTTTTATGGAGAATTTATTAAGGAATTCTTGTTTGTGGGCATGCTTCTCTTCTTATTTCTCTATTAAATTTCCAATAAATATTGCAATTTTTTATAATTTAATTCTTTTCCATACTCAAAATTCAATTTTTCTTTTCTAAACTTTACTAATTTTGTACAAGTTTAGGAGGGTTTCTTCTAAATCCGCCCGCCTCACAATTTTAAAATCTGTCTACTAGGAGGAGAGGTTTTAATGTTCCCCTCTCCGACAAACGAAAGATCTCACAATTCCCCTCTCCAACAAACGAAAGATCTCACAATCCACCTCTTTGGAGGCCAACATCCAATAGTACACTGCTCGGTGTTCTCCTCTCCAACCAATGTGAGATCTCACAATCCACCCCTTGGGGGCCTACGATGTTCCCTTCTCCAACCAATGTGAGATCTCACAATCCACCCCTTGGGAGGCCCAACATCCTCGCTGACACACTGCATAGTGTCTGGCTCTAATTCCATTTGTAACAATCTAAATTCACTGCTAATAGATATTGTCCACTTTGACCCATTACATGTTGTCGTCAACCTCACAGTTTTAAAACACGCCTACCAAAGAGAGATTTCTACACGCTTATAAAGATTGCTAAATTCCCCAACTCAACCAATGTGGAATTTCACCGTCATTGACTAGCTAGTTGAGTACAAAAGGGGTATGTTTTAGTCTTTAATTTTCAAGCATTTTCCAATTTAGTTTTAATACCCTGTAAACTTATAACCATCCAAATTTAACATTCATTTACCAGGAGGGTAAATTGAAAAAAGTTTTTACCAAAACACTCAAAAGCACATCTAGATATTCCAACACAGCAGCATCATCCATTTAGCTCACAATTAATAGACATTAAAAAGTAGCTCAGAAAACTTACTTGGTATAGTGGAATCAGAAACTTTGTTACAGGTCCTATGAACACCAGGCAAGCAAGCCAACGCTGTGTTTCCATAAGTGGGTCCCTGCCCTCTGTAAAGCAGAAACTAGAGGCTTTCTTACCGTACACTTACCATTTCTACAGATCAGGACACAACACTTGGTCATTGAGCATTGCTTACTAGAGGCTTTCTTACCGTACACTTACCATTTCTACAGATCAGGACACAACACTTGGCCATTGAGCATTGCTTACGAGTAAGGATCTTCTTGCTTTCACATTCTTTCATCTTCACATGACGGCCATACCTGAAAAAAAATGGGCAAGTAAAAGATGCCTACATCTTTAACAAACAGACCCTCAATTAAGCAATTCTATAGATATGGGAAAGAGAAGAAAACTAAGCCAAGAACAGATAGATACCCAAGTTCAGGGCGTTTTGTACGCTTTCCATATACATTTCTAATCGTTATAACCTGTTCATGGTCAAGGAAACTCCTGCAGTACAGTTCAATGCCTGAATAAAACCAGTGAGGTGCTAAATCCTCTTAAGTAACATTACATTCTAACAAAATTAGGACCGTCAGTTGGAGGGATTAAGGAAGGCCTGATTTCTCAAATGATGGCTCTTCTATGGATACATAAACTAAAAGGTGAAAGCAAAGAAGAACACATGCTTATTAATACATGTCGAATCAGCATCTACCTTGCTAAACCAGCGAGTCTTACAGCTATGTTCTCTTCTTACATCTTTAGACTTCACTTTCTATCGGTCTTTGTTAATACATCAGGCACGGCACACCGACGACCAACTAAAGCTTCAGTATTTTGCAACCTATCACATTCCTTAACCTTCCTTCAATCCCCCACCTTGACAAAAGCAAACGAGTGTACCACTCCTTCAACAGGCATACGGCTCAATCCAACTAATTACAGGGTTCTTTTGTAGGGCCACAACTTGTCGACTTTCGTTTTCTAGTTTGTAAGAGTATCGTATCAGTAAGGTGCTAAATCTCGTCGGCAGAAGAATACGAAATCTGGGTGATTGACCTGGAGTTCTTTTAACCACTTATCAGCTTCCCGCGAGAGCTTGTTTGCCAATTGATGCTCAACTCCACCATTTCGCATCCACAATGATGACCCTTTAAACTTGTATGAAGCAAGTCCAAAAATTCTTAAAGGAACTTTTTTGGCATCCGTCTTACAAGGATATGCCACAAATGGCAATTGAGGGCTTTGAAGGCCTAAAAAATATGAAGAAAATGAATTTTCATGCTCTTCTCAGATATATAATGTACATCGAATGTCACACGATATTAAACATTAAAATATTCTAAATGACATAACAGAATCCCAAAATGAACTTAAACATTGGTTAAACTGGCAAGAAATTGAATTACCTCCCATTGCGGTATGTAGAGAATGGTATGTGAGAAAGCAAGCATCAAGATCCTTTAATGTTTGCCCAGTTGGTATCCTGTAAATTGGGTACCTACAACACGTTTTGGTTTGGAAGCAATTAGTCACATGGATATTAAAGAGAATTCATAGAATGTGAAGATTCTGATACCATGCCACAGATATCCAACTACATGGTAGTAGGTCACAACTTCTCATTGTTTTCAGCTGAGGGAAACGAGAAGCAAGGTCAGATATCTGTATGCAAAAAAACAAAGAAAAATGAGAAGCTGTAAACCCGAATATATTCTCAAACCCAGAAAACTACTTGCCTTGTCTGCCAGAGGTTCGCGTGAATACGGTTGGTCTCTTTCAAGATACTCAAATAGAAGGCAACCTTGAGAATTGCAAGATTCAGCCTCATCGCTGGAGCAGTCCTCGAGACGTCCCAAATGCTGGTCCCTCAAAGACAATCTATCCATTCTAAGAGGAGCTGTGATAGACGGATCATTATGGTGGGGTGGTTCTCTACAGTGTTTTATTCTTCTCTTTGTTTCAGAATCACTACTACCATCACTACTTGAATCTCTGTAGTCACTATCAGTTTCCTCACCCCATTGCCTTCCAAACAACCAAAGCTTATGCATCAGTATCACAAAAAACAAACGTAAGAATATGATAGAATTCACAATCAAATTCATGAAACTCGAGAACAATATAACGTCCCATCAAAGCACACAAATTCTTTTTTCTTAATGATGTCATACTACTACATTCATAGCGTAAGAATATGATCAACCAAAAAAGTGAAACGACTCCAGCTACAAGAAATGGCAATCAAATTCTAGAACATTGATCCAAACGAGTCTACCCTTCAGTGTTTACCCTGTGCTCTATTTTCCTGAATGAAAACCTCTCACGCCATACTTAGTAACACAAAATGACATTCAGATTCTCATACTCTAAAACGCTCTCGATCCCGCCATTAATCAAGATGACATATTAACTAAGCAATCAAAAGTTGGTTAAACTTTAAAAACAGTTTTGCAACATAGAAAGGAGGAATTTTGTCCCGAAACGAGGATCGGTAGAAGAAAAGCATTCTACGCGAACTACGAATTGGCATTATGGTCCATAGGATAAAGCTACAAAATCTAGGGACAAAATATAAACAGAACATCAAATCACTCGAGGAAAAAAAATACCCTTCCACCAAACCACAAACCTAACCCTCAGTACCCCTCATAAGTAAAACAGAATCAGAACCAAAAGATTGCAAATTCCCGAGTTGAGAAGCTGCATGCTAAAATATGCACCAATGAATGGATTAAAGAGAACAACATTTCATAGAAGATAATCTTCATGACCTCAATTCCAGCATATTGAATACCTTGGCTTTGTAGACGATTCCGTGCCATACAATTGTATGCCAGACAAATACGGGACATAATACTGAACCACACCATCAGTGTTATTCAATAACAGAGGCACTCCAGCGCCATAAGCGCTCCACTCCTTGAAAGTTTCCCACAAATCACCAAGCACAAAAAAAGGCTGCCTCTCCGAATCGCTCGTTTTCCAACCTCTCAACGCACTCTGCAAGAAACAAAACACAAGTCAGCTGAGTTCCAGAAGTGAAATCGAATAAAAGTTAAACATTGCTCTAAACCCACTCAAACCTTAGAGAGAAACTGAGCAGGCACAGACGGAGTAACCGACTGCAAAAAGCGCTCGAGATTACTTAACGGAGAAACAGCCGGCTGGGGAATTGGTTTAGTAGCTTCATCAGAGACGACACGGTCCCCAGCCTCTGTAATCGGATACTGCACCGAAACATCCTTAACCGCGCAAGATGGAGTAGCTGAAGCGTGTTCTTGAGGTCTACAGAGCCTATCATTTTGACGGCTGAGAAGGCCCTTCCTGGCTCTCGATGAATCGTAAAACCGGTCCTCACCTCTGACGCGACCAAACCGAACACCTGCTCCTAACATCTCGACAGTCTACCACCAACTAAGGAACACTAGTCTGCAAGTGGCAAGAACAATCCCTAACCAAAGTCAACGACGACGGCGACGGCGACGAAGGGAAGTGGAAGAGAAATGGCGGTGCGATCTGATAATCTGAAATCCAGACAGCAGAAACAGCAATTGTCAGATCTTTCCGGGGAAATCAGATCGCCGATGAGGAATTTCAAGTGAGAAGAGAATCAGTAGCTTTGAATAACACGAAGTCGAATGGAATGGGAGGAAATCAAAGCGGCTCAACGAAAATCCGATTAGGATTAAAATGAGGGAGATTTTTTTTTTCTTTTTTAAAATAAAGAAATTAAATATTGAAAATCACCTCTCTTCTTCTTCCTTTTTTTTTTTTTTTTTTTTTTTACAAAATTAAAATTAAAATTTNTTTTTTTTTTTTTTTTTTTTTTTAACAAAATTAAAATTAAAATTTACAAATTTAGATACTAGATTTTTAAAAATTGAAAACTCTAGTTGAGAATCCTAATAAAAATAAATTAATTAAGATATTAAATAAGAAAATTAGTGTTTACTACGTAAGAGCTAATAAAATTCAGATCCCAAATTAACAAAATTACAATTAATTCACTTCGAATTAACAAAATTCCTTTAACTTCAAATTAAAATATTAACAGTAATAATTTTTGTGAATTATAAAAATAAATTATGTGTTTTTTTTAAGTATAATATTAACCAATTTTTTTGTAAGTTCAAAAGTATTTTTAAAAGATATTAAAAATTTAAGACGGTTCCATCCAAATTTAATAGTAAGAGTATTTTTTAGATTTTTTTTTATTTAAGTTATCTTTTAGAAAAAGTTGGGTATTTTTATTAATTTATTACATAATTATAATAATAATAATAATAATGTAATTTTCAATATTTAGAAGTAGAGGGCGAGCTCCCGCCACACGAAATTCCGAAAATTAACGTTTTGTCTTGTTTAGGGGCAAAACTGTGAAATTGAGAATATGTAGGGACGAAACAGAAAAAGTCTGGCGCGGCGGAGATCCGGAGCTGTGGTTAGGTAAGGACAGCTTATTTACGGGGCATCTCGCAATCGCAACTGGAATGTGGACCCCGCCGAATGGACCATTTTGTGCCACGTGTACGGTCCGATAAAATCAAACACTACCAACTAAATATATATATATAATTATTATTTTTGGATAATAAAAATGGATAAGGATTCAAAAGAGAGAAAGCAAAAAGGGAAAAAAGTCGCATTTGGCAACAAAGCCATCTTGAGGTACACGTAATGATGAGAAATTAAAGATAAAACTCCATTATTATTTGTAATTACAAAATTTTTCTGAGATTCTAACGAGTATCGGGTGCTAGTCCCAAAGGGAGTGGATAGTGAGATCTCGTGTCAGTTGAAGGGAACAAAACATTCTTTATTGGAGTGTGAAAACTTCTACCTAACACACATTTTAAAAACCTTGAACGAAAGTCCGAAGAGAACAATACCTGGTAGCAGTAGGCTTGAACGATTACAAATTCAAACTTTGAGGAGAAGTCTAAAAAGAAAAACTCAAAGAACAATACCTGGTAGTAGAAGACTTGGACGATTACAAATTCAAACTTTGAGAAGAAGTCCGAAAAGAAAAGTTCAAAGAAGACAATATCTACCCGCAATGACCCATGGCTTGGGCCGCTACAAATTCAATGGATAAGATGATTATTATTATGATTCAGCTATCTGTCCTGTCCCAAAATTGGGTCATAAATGCACTCCAAAGAACAAATGAGATGATCATTATTCTGATTCAGCTATCAGCTCTATCAGAGCTAAGACTGAGTCATAAACGCACAACCAAAGAACATATTACACGTTATGGTGCACTAAATAATTAATTTTGAGTTAATATCCTACCAAAGAAACAAAATTTGTATTAAAAAAAGAAATAAATGGTACTTAGGGAGTGAAATAATGGAAGAGAGAGAATGAAACCCATGATGTGTTAAAGAGAAAAACCTGAAAAAGAAGCAAAAGAACAAAGAACATGAAACTTTACCTAAATTACACGAAGAGTCTGCAAATTGCAAAAGTGGGCTCCCTGTTAAGACAATAAGACAATTATTGTGGACAAAATCATGTGGATGAAAACAACCAGCAAAGGATTCTCCTTCACATATATGGTTTTTGAGCGTTGAAAAATGCAGATGCCAAAAAGTTTAGCAGTGCCTCCAAGTTAGCTAATGGTTTTGTTGAAACTATGGACGGAAGAGCAAGTTATATAGAGATTCAAATGAAACAAAATGAAAGCATATGCAAAGGAGAAGTACTAAGAGGTGCCCGGAAACAAAACTTTCGATCGTTGTTGTCTTTGTTGATGTGAATGGTTCCCTAATCTTTTCTTGAGGAGTTGTTCGAGTCTAAAAATAAAAGACTATGAGATTTCACGTTGGTTGGAGATGAAAACGAAATATTACTTATAAAAGTGTAGAAACCTCTCTAACAGACACATTGCGATACGTAACGGGCCAAAGTTGACAAGACCTATTAGCAGTGGGCTTGGACTGTTACAAATTATATCAGAGCCGGACATTGAGCAGTGTGCCGGCGAGGACGCTAGCCCTGAAAGGGGTGGATTGTGAGGTCCCACATCGGTTGGAGGGGGGAATGAAGCATTCCTTAGGATGTGAAAACCTCTCACTAGTAGACGCGTTTTAAAGCTTTAAGAGCAAGCCCTTGAACGAAAAGCCTAAACAGGACATTATCTACTAACAATGGGCTTTGACTGTTACAAATAGTATCAGAGTCAAGCACCAAGCGGTGTGCTAGCGAGGTTTCTAAACCGCTAACAGATATTGCTTCCTTTGGGTTTTTCCTTCCTGACTTTCTCTCAAAGTTTTTAAGACATTGGCCCTTAAAGAGGTGGATTGTGAGGTCCCACATCGGTAGGAGAGGGGAATGAAGCATTCCTTAGAATGTGGAAACCTCTCACTAGTAGACCCATTTTAAAACTTTAAGAGCAAGCCCTTGAAGGGAAAGCCTAAACAGGACAATATCTACTAGAGGTGAACTTTGACTGTTACAAATGGTATCAGAGTTAGGTACCAATCGGTGTGCCAGCAAGGTTTCTAAACCGCTAACAAATATTGCTTTCTTTGAGCTTTCCCCTCCAGACTCTCTCAAGGTTTTTAAGACGCATCTACTAGGGAGAACTTTCCACACCCTTACAAAGAAGGCTCGTTTCTCTCTCCAACCAATGTGTGATCTCACCTAAAGACTTTGATGTTAATCTAACCAGAAACACACATACACAAGGACCTTCAATTACTCTACATGTCCCTTACTTTCACCACAGTGTAAATGGAAAATGGCACAAACAATTAGTGGAAATAGATATCCATAAAAAGAAACTCCCACACTGTGTGGATAACGATTGGCTCCATAAACGTCAACAACCAACAAGATCTGGAGCTTATCAGTAAGAAAGAAGTCAAATATGACCTACTAGTCATTTCTCTAGGTTGGAAAGAAAAAAGGTAATACAGTATTTCAAAATTCCATGGTTCTTGGAGATTAAATCATCGAACAAAAAGTCTCATCCAACAATATATATGATCCAAAGATTTCAGACTCAAGAACTAGGGCAAATACTGCACGAATTAACAAAAAAAAAAAAAACAGAATCCCCAATGCAATTCCAGATTAGAAGTAAAACCAAATTGATCAAACTCGGGAATGATGCATACAACTACAGAAAGAGTTCATTTCATCAAACATGGAAAGATCCATTACCAGAGAAGGAAGATAAATTACAGACCTCAGGATTCGAGGGGCGCGAAGTAGGAGATTTCCGGTTGCCCTTGAATCCGAAGAAACTCGTTGTATATAAATAATAATTAAAAAAAAAAAGGGGTGAAAATAAAGTATAATTTTTAATCATTTAAATTTAAGTGTAATTTCAAAAATAAAAAATAAAAAGGTAAAATAAAATCTCTTAAATAAATGGAAAAAATAATATAAATTAATAATGGAGGGTTGGAAATATGCGGTGTTTGAATTGTGAATACGGAGACGACACGTCGATATTCTCTATTGTACAGTCAACCATTTGACTTTTTTAACTCCATATAATCAAGTTGAATTTTTAAATTTTCTTTATTTTTTTCATTATTATTTTCTAAATTCCATTTTTATATTTTAATATCAAATAAATAATATGACGCATTAAATAGTCCAAAATTATTATTTATTTATCTATTTTGAAATAGAGCATACAAATTACTATCTATGGTAATTAACTAAATGGGTTGTAGTTTTAACGCGGGAAATCTCTCGTAGACATACCAGGGTTTGACCTTGACTCTCCTCGAGGTCGTGGGCTCCTCTTTCCCAACTAACCTTTATTAAGGTGTTCGTTTTTTAAACATATATGACTCAAATATTAATCTTGATCTTACTATCAAATTCTCTCTTTGAAGTTTAATGGACGTTGACTCAATAACACAATTATTTTTTTTACACACAACAAATTTCATCGATGAAATCGTGTTTACATAGCAGAAACGCCCAACTAGGTTTTTGCCTTCATTTGATCGTATTGAGACAATAAGATATATGTATCAAACTGACATCCAAAGACGAATCAACTGTCACTCATCTTAAAAAGAAGAGTTTTTAGTCTATATGTATCAAACTTGTATCAAACTAGTAAGAACGTGTTCTCAAAAGGGCACGAAACCCGTATTGTAAACCGGCCTTTAAAACATATTAAACACCAACAATTAAACTTGTAATTTAATTTAAAAAAAAAAACATGTAAATTCTAAGTCAAATGTCAAAACTGACAAGAACAAAAAAGTCAACGTAAATGTTGGGTTTGAAAAACCAGCCAATTCAACGGTCTATGATTTCCGGCACATCCAGAAGATTCAACTAATTTAGACAGACACGCGCAGCCCACACAGAGTTCTTCAGCTCCACCGATATTCACACCCCAAAAAGCAGCCTTCTCCAAGTGGGAGCCAATCCCAATTCATAAACCCACACCTTATCTCTCTGTTTCTCTCTGTTTCTCTCTGTTTCTCTCTAAATGGTGTTAAATTTCTCAATTTTCATTTTAATTTCCATCTTCCTCCCGCCGGCGACACCCTCCGCCGCCGTAGACCGCCACTTCGAGGCCTGCCGTCGACCAATGGCCTGCGACGACGGCCAGACAATTCAGTACCCATTTCACATCGAACATCGCCAACAGAAATTCTGTGGGTACCCGGGATTCAAGCTAAAATGCCACCAAAACGGCCACCCAATCCTCCATCTCTCCGGCAGGGA